CCTTATTTTCGTTCAACCTTACAATTTATCTTGTCTAAGAAAGTACAAAAGAAACATATATCAATAGGATCAAATATTGGTTGATATACTGATTATTCGTAGCAATTATAAATTTATTTTTGAGATAAGAAGGAGCTGGTACGAAGACCCAACAAATGAGGCGAATTGATCAAAAGAGCTGTTTTCAAAGCTTGGAAGGATCATGCGCTAGGCAAGCAGATGAAACTTTCGCAGCAACTTCAAGCGACTCCTTTGAAATTATCTGCGTGAGAGGAAGCGCCAAATCGCCTGCAATGCTAGGCGTCTTACAGTTCTTTTTCATTTTTTCAAAGTTCTGGCCGCAAAGCCAAATGCGACGAGAATGTTGCAAAGCTTTGGAAAATTAATGGTGCTTTGTTGAAGCATAGGCAATGTATTTAGCGTGTCATTCAGTCGGCCACTTGGACTGCACAAGGAAAGGAAAAGAAACGCGAAATGGAGGGTTTGGATTAAATTATAAAGCACGGTGTTTTCTTGGAAACATTCAAAAACGTCCTACTCATTAACGATAAGCAGGAAGGTATTTGCCTACAAACTTTCTCAAGATATAAAGTACGGGAAACAATGCACTAAATGCAAAAAAATGCTTTAATTGAAATGAATCATCATTTCCCTTGTTTGCCACAGGTGACGAATGCCGCATCATCTTGTTCGAAGAGCCGATCGCAAATAAAGCAATCAAGGGGCACGTGATCTGGAGTAAGGAGGTATCTAACGAGGGGAGTTGCCGTATGATGTGTTATATGGAGCCTAACTGTGTGTCCATTAACGTGCGACCATCACAAGGCGGAAAATACAAATGTGAGTTGAATAACGCCACAGCTGATGTAATCTCCCTCGAAAGCTGGGACACTGCCTACTATCTGGCTGTTGAGGTAAACCCGTTGCGTATTACGGTTACTGTTTTCTAGCTTAGTACATTGAAGAAAACCTGATAGACAAAGAAAAGAGAAATCTTTCAGGGAAAAAAGAAGAGGGGCTTAAAGCAGACTTAACCCAAATTTTCTGTCAAGTGGAGACCAGGCCAGTTCATCCTCGAGCAAAGGCACAGGGCGCTTTACGACTGGGTGTTTTGAACCAGAAACAGCTCAATCTCTACAACCAACAAGACCAACGTTAAAGATGAGAAATAAATTAATGTAAACGAGCACAAACTGCTTTGAGTGCACGCAGTCAAACGCACGCGTAAAAAAACGGCGACTATCGTTTAAGCTTTAATCTGATCACAGGCGGCCCAAGCTCCAGCTGTGAGATGATCATCTTGCGAAATAAGAGTCATGGCGAAATTATAAGAGTTTGAATGGGAATATTTACGACCGCTCTTAGGAATAAAAAATACGTTGTAAACCTAGAAATAGATAACTCGCTAAAATGGGTTCATTTCAACCTAGTAAGCGGTCAGATAGCAAGCGATGCACTGTGGAAGTAAGGTGAGGTATTTTTATTGAGAATTTGACTGTACTTTTTATTCCTAAGAGTGGTCGTAAATATTCGCATACATATTCTAAGAATTATAATTCGCCATGACTCTTATTTCGCAAGATGATTAACTCACAGCTGGAGCTTGGGCCGCCTGTGATCTGATTAGCTAGGACTGCCGTGGTATGTGTTTTCTGG